AGAGGTAGTAGTGGTAAAGCATGTCATTTTCAGAATGTTTTAGTTTTGCCACATAAAAATAAGTTACACCACTCTGTTCAGTGTATCCAAATGCTTCAAAATATATAGCATTTTGATTCTCATCATCATCTATTTTAAAAATGCATGAGCAAGCTGTTCTTTATCATTGGAAATGTAAATCCTTCTTTTGATTCCTTGAACTCTTATTTTTCCTCTGTGTCTCTCATAGACGTTTATCTTGGTATAATACATTTTATATTTGAAAGGTTTTTCTTGGTTTTTTTTTTTTAAACAAAATATGTATATAAGCTTAAATTTTAATTTAAAAAAGTTCCTGTAGGGGCGCCTGGGTGGCTCAGTCAGTTAAGCGTGTGCCTTCAGCCCAGGTCATGATCCGAGGGTCCTGGAATCGAGTCCCACATCCGGCTCCCTGCTCAGCGGGAAGCCTGCTTCTCTTTCTCCCTCTGCCTGCCGCTCTGTCTACTGTGCTATCTCTCTGTCAAATAAAATAAAATTTTAAAAAATCTTAAAAAAAAAAGTTCCTGTAATCATAGTTTTTAAGTATTAATTTGGTCCAGAAGAAAAATTATTATCACAGTTACTAGTAGTATACAACTGATCACATATATTACAATTTTTGATAAATCATAACTAACCATAAAAGTTGAATTTGATTGGAAATGTTTTTCTTTTTTTTTAAACTTCAATTTATTTATTTATTTATTTATTTTATAAGATTTTATTTATTTGACACAGAGAGAGAGAGACACAGCGAGAGAGGGAACACAAGCAGGGGGAGTGGGAGAGGGAGAAGCAGGCTTCCCGCTGAGCAGGGAGTCCAATGCGGGGAAATGTTTTTCTTAATGATGGGGATTTATATTTTTCTCAGATCATGAATCTGTGGATCATTATTTTTTGCTGGGATGAGAGAGAATTTATCAATTTCTGTTGCTATTTGTTTAAAAAAGATTTATTTATTTTAGAGAGTGTGCATGCAAACTCTCTAAAGGGGAGGGGAGGGGGCAGAGGGAGACAGAATCTCACGATGACTCTCTCTGAGTGCAGAGCCTGACATGGGGTTCAAACCCAAGACTCTGAGAGCATGACCTGAGCTCATGACCTGAGCTGAAATCAAGAGTTGGATGCTCAACTGACTGAGCCACCCAGGCGCCCCTATTCCTATTGTTTTGATAGACATAATAGCTGGAAAACTTTAATCATGTAGCTAAGTATGTGGGAATGGAAGTCTTATTATGGCAATATCCTCCATTCTTTGAGTTAGATGTTAAGAATTCCATAAGTCAGTTATCATTAGAAATTACTTTCAGTTAGAAATTATTTTCAGCGTCCTATCAGAAGGCAACTACGTTATGACCTCTTTTAATTTTGATGAAAGCAAAGAATTGGAAACTATTTAATTTGCAAGAGGATTTGTTACTCGGTGATTAGATAATGCACTTTGTTCAGGGGCTTGCTTTTGTTTTCATGAATCTGGGATGTTTTCTTTTATCCTTCTGAGGGAAATGAGGTAGTTTTTTTTTTTTTTTTAAGTCTCCTATTTTCTGTATCAACATTGTTTCCCTGAGTGATATTTATTCTTTTTGAATGTGATGCCTTACTTTTTTTGGTAATAGTGTTCCTCCATTATTTGGCAGTACTATCTGAGATTCTCCCACCTGCCTCTTACAGGGATATAACCGTGCTGCCAGGTGGGGTGTGAGGGCTCCCCATTCCATCTGGGGGTCGGCACAAGGCAGACTTGTGCCGTGAGGGAAGGAAAGTGTGGGGGTAATGGGGACTGATAGCTTTTAATGGAGTCCTCATCATTCCTGCTGTTTGTAAGCATAGAGGACTTTGCAGTCCTGCTTTCCGGTGCCTTTGGGCTGTGGGTTTTTTTCGGTGTGATCTCATTTGCTTTCATTTTCTTGGATATTCCTTGTAATTTCTGGGACTTCTTTTAAACCATCTTTCCTGCTTTTTTTTTTTTTTTTAAGATTTTATTTATTTACTTAGAGCGAGTGAGAGGAACAAGCTGACTCCACGCTGAGTGCGGAGCCCGACTTGGGGCTCATTCCCACCACCCATGATGTGAGCCAAAACTAAGAGTCAGATGCTTAACTGACTGAGCCACCCAGATGCCGTTACTATTTTTATTAAGGAAGCTCTACACCAAATGTGGGGCTTGAACTCATGACTGAGTCACATGCTTTACCAACTGAGCCAGTCAGTCATCCCTACTCTTAAATTCTTTAAGGTGCTCAATTAAAATAGGACTTTATGTCTGTGAAAGTCTTCCTTTTTATCCCTATCTCTGGTTCCTCATCAGTGGCATTTGGTATATATTCTTTCATTTCTTCCCCCTGATTATTTGTATGTGCGTGCGTTGTGTTTGTGTGTTTTATAATGCTATTATGCCATATTTGCTTTTATTTTTTTCTTAATGTGTCCTGGCCATCTTCCCATTTCAGTATATGAAAAGCTACCTAATTTCTTTTAAAATTGCATATTATATCACAATTTAGCGAATCTTTCGGTGGGCATTTGTTACTTTTTAAACAATGCCACAATAAACATCTCATTAACATTCATTTTTGTGTACTTTTATGTCTTTCTCTGAACTACATACCTAAAATGGATTGTCAAGTTAAGCATTTCAAAATTTGATAGACTGCCAAATTGTCTCATAAAAAGGATGTTCCAATTTATATTCCTCCAGTGGTATATAAGATTACCTGTTTTCTTACACTGTTGCCAACAGTGGCTATTATTAAATATTAAAGAGATTTTATCACTCTTATGACCAGAAGTTGGTATTTTTTGTAATTTACATTTTCCTGTAATCTGCATTTTATTTTCTTACAATCTGCATTTTAAAATGAGGCAGATTTTTTAAAATATGTATTCTTTCTTGAGCTAGGAAGAATAAATTTTATAAGCTTATTTTGTGGGAGTAAAAGCAAATTTATGCCAAACATGTTCTATCCCATATTTGGCATAAATATGGGATAGAACGTTTAGTATCTCTTCGGTAAGTAAAACACAATACATGAAGCCTAGTCTGGTGCCTTGTGCTAGTGGGTATTTAATGAAAGTCTATTCTCTTTCAGTCCTTTATTCCTTTTTCTTCCAGTTAGTAGTCTCCTTTCAGTCTGCCTTGTTCTTTAGGTTGTTCTCTGTAGTTGTTCCTCTGTTATCTGAGATAACAGAATGAAAGACTTTTCCATGAGTTTATATGAAAGATTTCTGCCTTGGATTTGTGGGAGTCAGAAGGTTGGGTAGTGTAGTTTCTTGTCTTTCAAAGTAAAACCTTGCATTTTATATTTTTGTAGCATATATTCTAGATTTTTACTTGTCTTATGAAAAATATCTCTGTGAGGTTCTTGAGAGTGGCTCATGGGAAACTCTTGGGTTGGCAAGTTGATGGCAGAGCTAGACCGGTTGCTGAAATTTTATAGTCAAAGCCTTTAAGAAAAGGTTATACATCCTTATATTGATCTATGTAGTCAGTGCAGTTTCATTCAGGATATAGAAGAGCAAGAGAACTAGAACAACCAAAACAGTTTTGGAAAACACCCAATTTAGAGGACTCACATGACCTCTTTTAAAGACTGTACAAATTCAGTAATCAAGATGGCATAGTGCTGGAAAAATGAAGAGATTTATAGGCTGGTGGAATAGAAGAGAGAGAGTCCAGAAATAGATCCACACATAGTATGGTCAGTCGATTTTTCAACAAAGGTGCAAAGGCAGTTAAGTGGAATAAGTATAGTTTTTCAACAAATGATACAGGAATAATCAGATGTCCGTATGCAAAAATATGAATCTAGACCCATATTTTATACCATATACAGAATTAATCATTTATCGTGGGCCTCAAAATGAAACCTAAATTTGAAAACTATGAGTTCTAGAGGAAAATGTAGGAGAAAGTCCTGTGACCTTGGGTTAGACAAAGATTTCTTCTTCTTCTTCTTCTTCTTCTTCTTCTTCTTCTTCTTCTTCTTCTTCTTCTTTTTCTTCTTTTTAAGTTTTAAAATTTTTAAGTAGGCTTCATGCTCAGCACAGAGCAAACGTGGGGCTCAAACTCAAAACCCTGAGATCAAGACCTGAGCAGAAATCAAGAGTCATCACACAACTGAGTGCGCCACCCAGGCGCCCTTAGACAAAGATTCCTTAGATACTTCACTGAAAACATAAGAAAGCATGAGGGAAAAGTGAAAAATTAGCGTTCATCGAAATTTAAACTTTTGCTCTGCAAAAGACACAGTTAAGAGAATGAAAATGCAAGTCATAGGCTGGGAGAAAATATTTGCAGAATTCATCTGATAAAAGGGTTGGTATTGAGAATATATAAGGAATCCTCAAAATTCAATAATAAGAAAACAAATAGCCCAAATAAAAATGATAAAAAAAATTTGACCATTTGGTTCACTAAAGGAAGGGATGGCAAATGAATAAACACATGCAAAGATGCTCAACATCTTTAGTCATTAGGGAATGAGACACAACTATATTAGAATAACTAAGATTAAAAGAAAACAAAAACAGTTCTCTGCTCCCAGAAGTGATATTGGTGACCATGTAATTCTCTCCCTCAGGAGCAGCAAGGATGATGCCCTGGACTTTTTACGTGGGAATTGTTTTAATGGCCCTTGTAGCATTGGATTTGAATCACAGATAACAAAACCTGTGGTGCTTCATAACAATTTTGGAATGGAGTATAATGGTGATCTTTGACAGTTTACAGAACAGAAAAGATTTCAGCTTGCTTATTAGGAAGGGTTCTTCTGTAGTGTTTGGGTATCATAAAATTGAATGACTCAGTTCTGTTCTGTTTCTTGGTTTCCTTTTATTGGATCTTTACATTTTGGACAGATTTTTATCTGCTTTAAGCTCATGCTGTGAAGAGTGACAAAAGTCTACCCGGTTAGATAGCTTTGAATCTGTTTTTCATATTGCTGTCTCTCACTGTGGGTAATTACTCTTTGTGGTTATTGCAGGAACTCCATCCAAACCAACAGGTCTAGCCAATGGTGATCACGGAATAGAAGGGAATGATACTACGGGTAAGTGGTTCCCAGGATTCCCCAAATGTGGGGCTGAAACAGTCACAGTAAACACCTTGATGAGCTCCTTTGAGGAAGATTCTTAGTGAATCACATGAACTATTTCTAAGGGTATTGTTGTTCTTGTTGGTGTATTCAAGTCCAGGGCCCTCTGCCACATAACATGTCCAGCAATGGAAAGAGTGAATTTCCTTTGATGTTTCTTGAGTTATTTGTTGTAATTATACCACACGAGAGCTGGATCAATCTTAAAAATATGCTTATAGATGCAGACTAACCATCATCAAAATATGTTACACTGGAGGCATTTGGCCACTACAGCTCTTTATACAGCCTCTTCTCCACTGCACTTAGCTTGCTTTCTGCGGCTCAATGTTAGGAAACCCGTGAGCCGCAAATTAGAAGTTCTTCCCTTTTAATTTTGCCCTCAGTCTTTTTCTTAGTCTTTTTCCCCTGTTAACTGACCCCCGGTGTATTTGTAATGAGCAGAATTCTTGAAGCAGTAGTGGGGTCCACAGGGATGTACTCTGCAGATCTTCTCTTAGGTAGCTGATAAGGAGAGTCAGCTTGTATTTCTGTAAACAACTGCACTTATTTTGCATCGTGATCAGGCTGACACTGTTGACCCAAATGAATAGACGTTTAATGGTCAAGTGAATTGTTCTTTGCAACAGACCATGCTCTTAACTGGGGCATCGCATTTGATTCACATTACTGCACTGGAGGCAAGCACTAGACACGGATTGTGTCTGTGTTTCTCTTGTATGCCTACCTCAGCCTGGAGAAGATTCTCTTTGAGCCACCATATGATTTCTCGGTTTTTAAGGCTTCCTTCTGTTAGCAACAGCAATTATTCCAGGATTTATTCTTTATTCTGTGACCTTTGGAAATGTTGTATATATCTTTGTACCTCAGATTTATTGATGGCTGGTTTCCATTTGTTGTGAATGTTAGTTTTGCCCAGTGACTTTAACATCCTTATTAGCGGCTCATAACTTAGAAACTCTTTACTTTAAGGTAAAAACATCCAGAAGTGCCACCTTATCTTCCAGTTTTGTGAACTGATTTTTTTTTATTTTTTTGATAATCTTTGTTGTATTATTGACTGTTTCTGTGCCTGCTTTGAAAGCAAAGTCATCTATGTAGTATAGTTTTAAGGAAACATTTATGGCAATATCCCTGTGATTAAAGAAGCTTGAACATGAACTTTTTTAAAAAATGAGTAAGTTCAGCTTTCTTTAATAAGGAGGCAGTGCCAGGGAAAAGAAAGGCTTGGAGGGGATTGACTTGGTTAGCCAGTTGAAAGAGTGGATGCCATTTTCATCCAGAAAGGAAGCAGCTATCAAAACTAGAGAGAGTTCTCCAGCAAGATGTCAGTTGTGACCAGAAGAGACTTTGTGTAGCAATTGCTTCCCATTGCCAATTCTTAATAGCCCAGAAAAAAAGAAGAGGAAAAACATACAGCTTGGCCCTTACTGTTTTCAAGACTTTTAGTTCCCTGGTGGCAAAAAAGAACCTGAATATTTATGAACTACCCAATGACATTATGGCAGCAGGTAGAATATAGTTTGCATACGGGAAGATGTTTGCATTCTGAGTTTGATCACCTGAAAATATGCATGTTTCACTGGGGATGGGAAGGAGTAGGGAGGGGACGGAGAGTGCATGTTTCTGGAGCATGTTGTGACCTCATTCTAATTTGGCCATTACTAAACTAGAGCACATAGCTCAGTGCCATTTTGAAAATTCCCATTTCTGTTTCGTTCAGGATGTTGTCTCTAGTCCTAATTGCAGACCAGTTCCACTGATAGCGTATAAAGGGTTTATGAGCATCTTGCTATGTTGAACTTGCTGTTTACTAATGACCTGTGCTTTTCTGCCTTTTCCTCCCCCTTCCTACTTCTTCCTCCCTTTCTATTTTTCTCCTCCTAGAAGCCTAGCGTGTCTCTCCACACTGGGGCTGCTGCAACACCAGACCAGTGATCTTTCCTAAGCACCGTTACACTTCTAAAACCTTCAGCATTTTGCAGAGCTTTGCTTTTCCTTCCTGGACATGGTGTAGAAGAAGCGGAGGGTAGTTCTTCGGGGCCTATTTCTGCTGATGCCTGAGCAAACCACCTGCTTCCTCTTGTGCTCTGCAGGGCTTGATGGAACCTCCTTTCCCTTTGTGAGCACAAAGTACAAGATGAATTCTTTTTAATTTTAGTATTTTATAAAAGTCATCTAAGGTCTTTTATTTCTTGTTCTCTTTTAAAACTCATTTTATCATTTAATTCAGTCTCACGTTTTTTCTTTTCTTTAAACATTTTGAGTTGGCCTTTTCCATTTGGTTTTCATATCTTCAAAATGAATCAGGATCTCGTAACAGCAAATGAGAACATGTGCTTTCATAAAGGGATTGAGTCCACCAGTACTGCAGTTGGCCCTCCCTTCCCCTCCCCCTCCTCTCTTTCTGAGCTTGCTTTTAGGGAAGGGTAATCTTTAAGGCTACCTATGTTTCTCTCCACCTTACTAAAATCTGAATAATGATAGCTATTTTAATTTAAAGTTTTCTCATTTAGAGTAGCTCTGATTAAACTTTGAAAAGCATTTCCTCAAATTAAACCATATTTTGTTATTTGCAAGTTGGGCTGAAATGGTTTCTATGATGAAATTATGGTTTATTTGTCTAGAGGCTTAGATTCTCTTGAAAATCTGACAACCTTTCATTGTTTATGAAATTTTATAACCAAAGTTACTTTGATAACATGATCATGAGCTATCAAAACAAGAATTGAGAAGTTAAAGAAAATGCAACCCTTTATTGTTAGACTGCTAGGTTGTTGATACAGATAGAAAACAGCTTCTATAAAAACATGGGAACGAAAGTACATTGCAGTACACTGAAGAACCACAACCAGCTTATCAGTTTTCTAATGAAATGGTTATCGGATTGGACTCACACTGTTCAGGTAGTTTCTAGTATCCCTTTGATCTCTGGAGCAGCATGCCCAGTGGGATTGGTGGACCACATGTGAAGACCTTTACCATGAAGGTTATTACCATTTATACTCCTTGTATTCTGAGGATTGTCCCAGTGGGACTTTCTTATTCTCGTTCCTCATTTTCCCACACTAAGAGCTAAAAAACCTGGAAGAACAATTTGGAAAAAGTACTGTGGAACTTTTCAGATAATAAGCTTTGATTGGACTTTGAGAAATAGAATATAAAACCTGGGCCATGTTTTGAAATCTTAGAGGAGTTCTGCTTTAAGGTCCAGATTGTGAAATACTCTAATTTTCTATCCTCTTACTGATTATGGAGGTTATCATAATCACCAAGCTATTGATTGTTTCAAATTAAAATAAATAATTGGCAGTATGTTCTGAGGAAGATTTTGAGATGTACATTATTTTAGATCCTCTGACATAAAAGTGCTTTTGAGATGGAAGTTTAAACCGAGTCTCTATGACTTCTGGAATTTAGGGAGCATTCATTCCCTCTTCTGATCACAGACGGGGGCCACATTGCCAAGAATTCCTCCTGTGAGTTCTTGGAGAGAAGACACTTAGAGGAGGCACATTTTAGAGGGAAATGCTGATGCTTCCCTTCTAAGCAGTTGATAATGAAAACTCTTAACCATGGGACAGCACCCATCAAATAGAACATAGCATTTTCCCTTCGGTATGCAGTTGTTCAGTATGTTTTTCGGTTCTCTGTGTGTGTTTGGTTGGTTTGGCTTTGGTTTTTTTGGCTAGGGAAATTTTCAAAACTGGCAGTGCTAACTTTTTAAGGATCATGGTTGACATTTTTCTATCACCTCTAACAGTCTCTACAGTTTGTCTAAGTGTTTGGAGAAGCCTGGATGCACCTCGGCTCTGGCAGTGGTCAAGGGGACACACACTCCATTATTACATTGACTTATTCCACTTTTATTTCCATTTTGCTGTGTTTTTGTTTGACTTTTTTTTTTCCAAAAAAAAATTTTTTTTAAACAGAATTGAAATTTTCTACTAGCCAGCTAAAATGTGGTGTATATTGTTAGCTCTCTCTGTTTCATTTGGATGTTTTATTTTGTTTTGCATATAGCTTTGTATGAAGCAGCCAGTTCTATAAAGAAATGCTGTGTTGCCATCGTGGTCACACCCAAGTGTGAGGTTACCAGACTGGTCAGGGTTGTTCTATTCAAATATGATGTTTCTTACATGTAATCTTTCTCTCTCTGTTTTTTTTTTTTCTTTCTTTCTTTCTCGGCCCAATGTTGAAGATGTAGAACTTTGTTTACAAATAATATTTTATATAACCCCATTCATGCACCTGAGTTTATATTTTTTGTGACTTTAGACTTCAACAGTTTGTATATTGGGACATTTTAATGTGATCATTGTGCTAAATAAATTACACTAATAAAAATCTTACATTGACACCTTACAGACTGGATTTTGGTTGGAGTCTTAATTATTGAAGTATAACGTGACTAAGACATGAGTTTGGCAAATAAAGACTCTTGAGGAATGAGTTCTTGGTCTAGCTAAACTTCTGATCCCACCCATAATAATTTCATAATTGTATGGGTTTTTTACTTTGCCAGGCATTTTCATTCACTTACATTGTTGTTTTTGATTCTTTAGAGTAACTCCTTTTTATCCAGAAGCCCAAATGACTGATATTTTATAGCATCTGGTGAGAAAAACAGTTGGCAGAGTGGCAATATGCAGTTAACCCAAAAGAGTTTCATGGTATATCAATTATTGTTAGATGCCTTCTAATACTACATGTATGTTTAGTTAATATTCATGTTCATAATCTTTCTAAAATACGTTCTGAATTATCCATTGAAACTGTTACATTCAATGACATTTTAATTTTGTAACTTTATTATGTAATTAAGTTACTGCAACTGGGAAGAATTCAACAGAATGCTGAATTTAGTATGCTGCAACTGGGAAGTATGCATTTAGTATGCTGCAACTGGGAAGAATTCAACAGAATGCCCAGTTCCCTACCCATTCTGGTTTAAT